ACTTTTTGATATCTTTCACAGAAAATGAGATATATAGGCTCAAAGTGGACGATCCGGGTGTCGTTCTATTAGAGGTTTTACGGTATATCCAAAATCTGAAACAATACTCTAGAACTGTTCATTTTGATATCGTATTTGGTAATCTCGAATTTCAGCAAAAAATCTGAAATTTTCAGCCAAAAAAAATGCCAGACGACATTCCGAAATTACCAAGACAACGAGGAAAGAAAAATCAACCAAAAGGTGAGAAATTGAAAAAAAAGTTTTCATTTTCCAAAAATTGCTGTTTCATATTTTAAATTATAAATTTATGAATTCAATTTTTGTAATCCATCTAGAAAAATTGAAATCTGTCTCAAATTTTTAGATATTCGCTTTTTAAAAATTACTATTTCAAAATCCGAAATGAATCAAAAATGGGGCGGCATTTCTATAATTCGGACTCTTTCAGACGCTCAATCAGTATTTTTCTTTACATATCAGATTTAAAATTAATTTTCCAACAAAATGCATTAAAACCACATTTCCACGACACTTCAAAGCCGAGTTATGGGCATTTGAAGTTTTTCTAGCCTCCAAACGCCCATAACTCGGCTCAATATCATTGTAGAAACTTGATTTTTAGTGCGTTTTGTGAATAAACCTCATATATTTCTTAATAATATTCAAAAATATAGAAAAAAAACTTCAAAGTACTCAAAAAATGTATTTTTTTCAAAAATTATCAATTCTATATTTCTCGAATTCCGAATCAAAATTCCAACCAAAGGCACTAAAAATCAAGTCTCTACGACAATTTCAAGGCGAGTTATGGTCATTTGAAATTTTGAAGAGACGCAGACAACGAGAACGCTCTCAGCGTCTGCGTCTCTAGCCTCCAAACTTTGAATGCCCATAACTCGGTTCAAATTCATTGTAGAAACTTGGTTTTTGGTGCGTTTTGAAGAAAAAATTCCTGGAAATTCAAAAATTGCTAAACAAAAAAGCATTTACTGTCAAAAATATCGATTTTAGACACTGCATGGAAGCAACAAAACCTACCCGCTCTCCGTCCTCATTACGACGTGACATCTGCAATACCAGTGACTCTTATTACTGGAGTTGCAACGTTGGCGATGGGAATAGCACTGTATTTTGGGCATAACGGGTGTAAGTTAGAGAAAAATTTTTCAAAAAATTACAGTTTCAAAATTATTCTTCTTAAAAAAATTAAATTTTTAGGTATTACGACAGCACTTTTTCAGAAATTAAACAGTTATTGATTTTTGCAGCTCTTGAACAAGAAGTAGTGTATACAAATTGCTCATTAGCAAATGGGACTCAAATTGAGCGAATTATGAGAACAGAGCTCCGAAATGAAACATTTCAGTGCTCATATTCGATAACGCTGGAGCAAGATTTTACGGTGGGTTACTGTAGTTTTCGAGATTGAAAATTTAGACAAATGAACAGTCAAAGTTTTCGACATTTTTTGTTGAAAAATGTTTGAAACAGCAAAAAAGAATATTGAAATTTCACTGTTTCAATTAAAATTAAATGTATCGAATTTTTAAAAATTATTGAAATTATTGATAAATTATATTCATATATTTTTTATTCTTGAATTTCTGAATTTCTGAGTTTACGAATTTTTGAGAATTTCATGAAAGTTTTTCAGGGAGATGTAAAATTCTACTACGGATTGAACAAGTTTTATCAGAACAATCGTCTATACTTTAATTCTCGAAACGATCAACAATTACGGGGAAAAATCAATGAAATTGATGGTTGTGATCCATTACAGTATGTTGAGGACAAAAATGGTACGAAAATACCAATTGCACCATGTGGATATGTTGCTAATTCGATGTTTAATGGTAAGGATCTCGAAAATTTCCTTAAGAATAGGAAAAAATATCACCAAAGTACAGTAATCCAGTAAAAACTGCCTGGAACGGTGCATACCTCGAAAACTACGGTAGCTAGAAAAAAACTGTTAATTACGAAATTGAAGTTCTATTTTTTTTTTAGTATACTTTAAAATTTTCAGACTAACCAGTCGATTTCCGCCGCCTGTCGGCGGCTACAATCTCCTGGCTTCACTAAAAACGTTTGAATCTCCGAAGCGGAGAGAATCAGAAGACGAAGTTTTAGTTGATTGTGTTGTCAACTTTCATAAACTGGAGTGACACACGCCATCGCGGTTGGGAACCTGAAAAACGCGCGCTTCGTCGCACACAAAAGTTGGCTGCGTGCCAGATTCGAAAATTTTGAAACGTGTTTTGAAAAAAGTGAAGTTAAACGTTGTTGAGTCGCTACTCACCGAAAAACCGCGACGCGACCGCGCTACGCGTCCAAACTTGGCGCTCTTTCCAATTTTTAAATATAGGTTCCCTTCCGCGAGGTCGACAGTCTGCTTATGCGCTTCGGGGCTAAACCTTCTGGCTCCCGCTTACAACACCCCTAACCGATTGAGTTTGGGCTTGGACAAATAAATCAGAAATGTAGATCAGAAATTTGTCTTAGTTGATACACGAACTGTTCAAAATTTCCAAATTTTTAGAACTAATAATTTTTCTGAATTCCCGAATAGCTTGAAATTTGACAACTTATAATTTTTTCAGAAGTTTCGAAATTTAGGAGTCCTGAAATTTCGGAATTGCGATTCTAGAACTCACAGATTTTTCTATTGAAATACTTCATTTCAGAACTCATAATTTCTGAAATTTTGTATTTTCGAGTTTCCGTATTTCCGACTTTCGAGATTCTACTTCACTAATTCCCAAAATTTTAACACGAAAAGATTTTCAGAATTTACTCTAAAACACATTTCTGAGTTTTTGATTGACAAAGTTTATGAATTTTCGAATTTTCTAAATTCCGAACTTGGGCTTTCTGATATTCTGAACTTCTGAGTTTCTGGTTTTTTCTGGTTTTTTTTTGCTTTCGAGATTTTGGACTTTCAAAGTTTCGAGTGCTAACTTTCAAATTTTTTAATTTCGTAATATTCCGAATATCTGAATTTTTATACTTCTGAGTTTCTGAAACATTGGACATTTAAATTCTCTGATTTTCAAACTTTAAAATTCCCAAAGTTTCAAATCTCGGTATTTTCGAGTTCCCGTTTTTCCAATTTTCCGAATTTCTGAATTAGAATTTTAGAATTTCAGAGTGAAACCAAAAATGTTTGAAGCATAGGAATGGTTAGAAATTTCGTATTTTCGAAAAAAAATAATCAAATCTCGTGAATCAGAATCACCGAAATTCAGTTTTTGAAAAGTTAGGGGATTCAGAAAGTCAGAATTTTAAAGTTTACTGAACTTTTTCTTTTTCTTGGGCGGGAATGACGTAAATATTATTTTCGAAAGATTTGCACTGTTGAAATAGAAGAACGTCTCCAGAAGGCGTCAAACTCAAAATTTCGAAACATAGAATAGACGGGCATCATCTCGCTGCTATTTCGGATCATCTGTGAAAATTTGAAAATTTTCGGTCTACTGGGAACTTCGCTAGGGTCGTGGAACCGGGAACAAACGGACACACAGACAGAATTTGGTGATTGTTAATAGTAAAGATTGGAAAATTTTGGATCCCTTTTGTGAAGTCTCAACGTTCAACAAACTTTAAAATCAAAGTCGTGATTTTCTACAGTTCCAGAGAATTTTCCGGCCAAAAAAATACTGTTTCGAAATTCCTGAAATCTGAGCAATCTAGCAATCTAGATTTGCAAGTCAATATCTGGATTATATTTTCTTCGATTTTCGAAACAAATTTTGAAAGGAATTTTTAAATTTCTTGATTTTTCCCATTCTCTAAACCAGTTTTTGGCAAGTTTTCCAAAAGTTACTGTTTCAATTCATTCGAAAATTCTTGAGACTAGAAAACTAATGCGGTGGATGACCGTTTTTGGAAAATCGTTTTCTTTCCAAAAATCAACTGAAAAGATGTGAAAATTGAAGGAAATTCGTTTTCTTTTTGGAAAATCCTTTTTATTTCATGAATACGTATACTAATCTCCATGTATGTTCACAGTCAATTTTATGAATTTTTGGATTCTACAAAAGTTGTATGATGATAGAAAAGTTTATCAAGTGCATCATTATCTAATTTTGAACCCAAATATTGCTGCTCTTCAACTTAAAAACTATGTTTTTTGACACAGATCACATGAATGGATAGAGCTAGGAAATTTAAGTACTGTCACCAAATATGAGAAATTTTCAGTCCATAGTTTTTGAGGAAATTCGGTGCGAAATTCATTTTCTGACCCTAAGAGCAAGGATGTGCAAAAAGGCGGCTGGCCGCGGCCGGCCTCAGCCGCGGCTCGATTTTTGAGGCCGAGGCCGGCCGCGGATAGCCTCATGAAAACGCGTGAAGTGAAAATCAATTAGTTTTTGAATAATTTCGTTTTTTGTTCTATTTTTCAAAAAAAAAATCTACGTTTCTCATGAAACAATTATTTCAAAAGGCCGTGAAAAGCCGCACGGCTAGCTTGGGCCGGCCGCGGCTTCTTCGGATATTTTTTCTGAAGCCGCGGCCGGCTCGGCCGTAGTAAAAGCCGGCAGCGACTGGCCGCGGCCGGCCGTGGCACAGCCTTGCCTGAGAGTCGGAAAATCATTTGAATAATGTTCATTACATTTTCACGCTCCCATTTTCCTTTGGGAAAATAATTCAGTTAATTTTTGAAGGGAAAATGGTTTTCCAAAGTAAATGTTCATGAATATGGCCTCTGCTGTTGGTTCCAATATATTTGACATTTCAAATAATTCGAAAATCGCAAAACTCAGAAAATTAAACAAATTGAAAAAAGGATATTGAATCAAAACAATCTGTGACTTCCAGACACATTTCAACTATTCTACATGAACGGTACGACAAATGGGACCACGAGGGTCCCATGGACCACTCGTGGAGTCCTTGGAGACACAGAAATGAAACGGAAGTTTCGAAATCCGGTTAGAGCTCAGAATCAAACACTTTGCGATGTTTTTCAGGTAGATTTTTACTTTTGAAGTTGCCAAAAATTGTTGTTTCAAAATTTTTTGAAATGTAGAGTGAAACAGCAATTTTTAGTCTGTTTAAATTACTGTTTCAAAAAATTTAGAATCATTTTCATAACAAAATGACTTCAATTTATTCATTGTGTTGACCTGAAACCCAAAAATGCAACTGACATTGCTCTGAAAATGACAAGTCCAGTTTTTTTCAAACATTTGAAAATTTCACAAAATTACTGTTTCAAAAAATTTAGAACCGTTTTTGAAAGTTTTTTGTTTTATTCACTCAATCGAAACTCAAAAATGCTGAAAGTTCCCAAATAAGCAACAGCAATGTTTTGAAAATTTCTCAAAAATTACTGTTTCAAAAAATGTAGAACCTTTTTTGTTAAAATTTCCAGTTTTATTCAGTTTTTAAATGTACATTGAACTACAAGTTTAAAGTATTTCAAACATTTTTTTTGAGAAAATTTTCAATTTTCGAAAAATTACTGTTTCGAAAAATTTGGAAACAGTCTGATCGAGCTATCCATACATTGTGGCGCAGCAATTTTTAATGTTTTCCTAAAAATCCTATTTCAGGGCACAATTCAACCGCCAGATTGGCGTCAGCCAATCTGCCAATTGGGCATGAATAGTACGGATCCAGATGTTGGTTTGGGATTCGAGAATATCGATTTTATGGTTTGGATGAAGGTGGCAGCACTTCCGAATTTTAGGAAACTGTACAGAATTTTGAATCGACAGGTTTGCCTTTTTTTGAAATTTCGGAAAATTAAGTCATGACCTAGAAAATCCAAAAAAAATAGGTCATGGCCTAGAAAATCCCAAAATTAGGTCATGACCTAGGAAACCTGAAAAATTAGGTCATGACCTAGAAAAAATCGATTGAACTTTTTTCAGGTGGATATGTTCAGCAATGGACTGCCCAAAGGCACATATCAATTGGTGATTAATTACAGTAAGTTTGATGTTCTGAAACTTACTGTTTTATATTTTGAGAAAAATTTTAATTCCATATTTTTCTAATTTTCAGATTACCCAGTTTACATGTACGATGGTGACAAATCATTTATAATAACGTCTGAAAATTGGGTCGGACCACGGAATCTGTTCCTTCCAGTCATCTATCTGGTCGTCGGCACTTTTCTACTTTTAGTCACAATTCTTTTTATTCTAATTTGGCTGAAACAGCGACTTTCTAGAGTTCATCCCACCTGAGTTTCAGCTTTTTTTTGCAGTTTTTGCAGTCTTGTTTGGCGGGAAATTTGAAATTTTGAATGATTTTTTTCATTTTTTACTTATATTTTTTGGTTGTGTGCATTATTTCTAAACGGGATTGATTCTTTTTTTTTGTATGTATTCTTTTATGATTAAATACATTTTTTGAAAATCAAAAAAAAAGTTAGTTCATTGTTTCTTTTTTTTTTTTTTTTTTTTTTAAGTTAGTTTTTTGTTATGCTCTTTGCTTTTTTCCGTATAGTTTTTTATTCGATAAACGTAAAAATAACTTTTTAATTCGTGAATAACTCAAAAACATGAACTGCCCAAGATTGTATGCACCGTCGTAGTCCACGACATGTTGACAACATTCAGGTAACTTATGGATATCATCCCTCCAAAAGCCAGTTGGCCGCGAATCAAAGTATACCTTCCGAGACGTTTTTATCTCATCGACAGTATTAAATCATATTCCCTTCAGATGACTTCAAATGACCACCAATAATGCAAGGGTCAAGTCTGGAGTTTAAGGAACGTGAGCAGCCGTCCATCCAAATCGGCATAGAACTGAATTGACTTTCCTTAAATAAAGCGAGAATCTATATTCCACGGAAAGTCAAATAAGACCTGGGCCGATTTAGCTGGACGGTTCTTCTTTACACACCCCCAAACTCCTGATTTGGCCCTTTCATTACTGGTTATTAGTAGATACGCAACGTCATCTGGAGGCAAATAGTTCAACACTGAAGTTGAGATGATAAAATCTGGACTGAAACAATTCTTTGAGTCGTGGCCAGCTGGTTTTTGAAGGAATGGTATCCCAAGTTTCCTGAATGTTGTCATGGACCGCGACAGTGCATACTGTTAATCTTGGGTAATTATTGTTTTTGTGTTATTCACGAAAAAAAAAATGGACAGTTACTTTCTTTCCAACCTAATACTTAAAGGTGGGGGGGACAGGAGATTTTTCGTAGTTTTTTTTGTAGCTAGAGTATGCATTCTACCGTCACGGTGTACAACGCTTAATGTCACTCTGCGTACAGCTGTCGTCCTCGCCTTTATGTATGCAATCGGGCGTGCGCTTTCTCTTTGCTCGCGTGGTTCAGTCGGTAGCGGCGCCGCACCCTCCATCATCGCCCTCACAAGTTCAACTCCTCGAGGGGCACCTTTGAACGGAATTTCGAGAACATTATTTTTTCATGTCCCCCCACCTTTAACACTTTTGTTTTTTTTTTTCATACTGGAATTTTTGAAATTTCCAGAAATTTCATCTAAATTTTTGACTGTTTCAGAGATTTTTTTCTAACAGAATGTTGTTCGATTCGTTTCTCGGAAATACTTTTTTCTAATAATCGCATTGCTATTACTTTACTTTGAATTTTTCCAGAAATTTCAGTCAGTTTAAAACATATTTCTGGTGAAAAATATTAATGAAAGTTATAAGAATTACATCAACATTATTTCACTGTTTCAGAAATTACGTACATCTTTTTCAGTTCAATATTTTTAGATAGATGTGTAATTATCGCATTGTGCAATTATGGTTGTTTTTTTTTCGAAAAATTACGCAATAAGACCTTTAAAAATATCAATTTCGCTTTCATTTTCAGCAATTTTTTAAAAATCGCTGTTGGAAAATTTCTCATTCAGGATTTTGAATTTTCAAACTTTATTTTGACATGGCAGTTACCGAACTTGTTTTTTTTCAATTTTGAAAAACATCAAAGTTTAGCTATAAAAAATAAATTCCAAAATGATTTCATTAAAAACTGTAAATTCCAGAAAATTCTCCTAATCTCTATTTACTGTTTCAGAAATTTTCTTTATTTTTGTCACGGAATTTATCTGATAATCTGATGCGGTTTATTTTTGAAATAAAAACTTTTTTGTTTTAAAGGATATCTCCTAGTTTCACTATATCTCCTAGTTTCATAGACATTTCACGTGTTAGTGGTTTTCTCCCCTTCGTTGAAATAAATAAATAAATAAATAAAAGGAGGCCAGACGTGAGAATTTTCAAAATTCTATTTTTTTTATATGCCACAATACAGTCAGAAAATAACAACGGACACCAAACCATAACTCCCTGTTACTGTACAAGCGAGAACGCGACCGTTCTTCCAAGCGGTGCCCACTCCTCGTTTCATAATCGTTTTAAAGGCAGAAGCGTGACAAGCGCTGTGTGGTATAAAGGTGAGTCTATCCACAGGTCCTGGGCGATGATGCGCATAAAGGACCCGATCCATATGCGATCCTCTAGAAGTCCGTTTGACACATATCGCGAACAACGAGCTGCGATGAATCTCATATGTGTGCGATGTGGGAGAGGCTGAATCGAGTGTTCCGAATGCGCGCGTATCCTAGATGAATTCTAGGTGGGTGGGCGATGTGTGCGATATGGGTCTGATACGGTAGGCCGTCTACAACACTCCGAAATCACGGATGCGCGCATTGTTTACCGTAAATCCACACCGGCAACTTTGTCAATTTTTCGTCAATTCGAGCATACATTTCTGGTTTTTCGATTATTCCTTCGATTTTTTTTTGTGAAAAAGAGTTATGGCAGACTGAAAAATCGCTGAATTCTTGCAGTAACATGTCTTTCACTCGTTAATTGCTATGTTTTTCGCCAAAATAGGTGATATTGAGATTTTTTGATTTCACTTTGTAATTATTGTAAAAATCGTATTTTCAGGTGGAATGAAAGGTGAGTTCTATTCTTATAAGTTGTTGTATTATTATTATTTGGTGACGTGAACTACCCTGGTTCACTAACCCTTTCTATTTCCTCCACATGTTACACGTGGATTTCTTGTCTCTTGAGAACTCCTCTGTTTTCAAGATCAGTTTCTGTATTGTCCCTGAATAAAGACTTTCATTATAACCACTCTCTACCCTTCCTGTGTCTCCTATCATGTCTGGACCACGGGACACAACGGTAAGTATGCAATAATTACAAAGTGTAAATTATAAAAATTTTTAATTTTTTTCATGCAATTTCAAAAAAAGTGAAAGTGAGACATATTTTTTGAACAAATGAAAAAAAAAACAATTTTTAGCGAATTTTTTCCCATTTTCTTCTGTTTTTGATTGCATATCAAATTTAAATGGAAACTGCCATAAGTCTTTTTCAAAACCAAAATATTGAGTTTCGAAAAATCAGTAATATGTCGTTCAAAATATAAAAGAATATGGAATAATAAAGGAAAAGTACGAAATTTTCAAATACACATTTTTCAAAATTGAAATTGAATTTCCAACAAAACGCACCAAAAATCAAGTCTCTATGACAATTTTGAGCCGAGTTATGGTCATTTGACGTTTTGAGGAGATGCAGACAACGAGAACGCTCTCGTTGTTTGTGTCTCTAGCCCCCAAACTTTAAATGCCGTTAATACGGTTCAAAATGATCTAGAAAATCCGAAAAAGGGGGATTTTCGAAATTTCGTAATTATCGAATTTCTGAATTTTCGATCATTTGATTTTTTGATTTTCTTTTCGATTTTTGATCATTTTTCTGATTTTTTGATATGTACTTAGAATTTCTAATTAAATCAATAATATGCATAAAAACCGCACCCAAAATTGTGATATGTGACTGATAAGAGAGAGTATTCTATTTGAATAGTGAAGAATAGAAACTTTAACATTCTTATCACTATCAGTACTTTTCAATATTTATCATCTTCACTTTACGGTCACTTGCTCTCCCTTTCTTTTTGCCGATTTTTAGATTCAATATGTCCCGAAAATTATTGATTTTTTGAATTTTGTGAAATTTTAAAAAAAATCAAAAAATCGAATGTTTGGTTTTTTTTTGAATCTTCTTCTTTCTCAAATATAAAAAATGGTTGGAAAACATACAAATACAAACAAGACCGGACTTTTTGTCTGTAGAAAATGGGAATATACATGAAAAATAGTTTTTTTTTTGAAAATTTGAAAAAAATTGGATTTTTAGAGTTTTCAAGATTTTTCGATTTTCAGGATTTTTAGAAAATTTTATTTTTTTAGGATTTTCGAATTTTAGGATTTTCGAGTTTTAGAATTTTAGGATTTTAGAATTTTAGAATTTTAGAATTTTAGGATTTTCGAATTTTAGGATTTTAGAATTTTAGAATTTTAGAATTTTCTGGAATTTTAGAATTTTCTGGAATTTTAGAATTTTAGAACTTTAGAATTTTAGAATTTTAGAATTTTAGAATTTTAGAATTTTATTTTAGAATATTTTTTTTTCGGAATGACCCAATTTTCCGAATTTTCTAGGTTATGACCTAATTTTCGGCTTATCTAGGTCATGACCTAGTTCTTTGGATTTTCTAGGTCATGACCTAATTTTTGGATTTTCTAGGCCATGACCTATTTTTTGGATTTTCTAGGCCATGACCTAATTTTTGGATTTTCTAGGTCATGACCTAGTTCTTTGGATTTTCTAGGTCATGACCTAATTTTTGGATTTTCTAGGCCATGACCTAATTTTTGGATTTTCTAGGCCATGGCCTAATTTTTTGGACTTGGTCAGAAAAAAATCGAAAAATCAAAAAAAGAAATCTTTCTTTTCTGGTCTGGCCGAAAAAAAATAAAAGCAACAAAACCATAGCTACAAAACACACTTTCTCGTTTTTACGTTTTTTTTTTCAATTTTTTGATCTTTTTCTTCAAAATTTTAATGTTTCAAAAAAAATTTTGAAGAAAAACTGATAAGTTCGGTAGTTGTTCTTTTTCAGTGGTGTCTAATTATTGTCCAGCCTATAATTGATTCAAAAATTAGTTATATCAATTAACAGTTATTTTTTTTCAATTTGAAATTCAATTTCCTTTAAAATGGTACTAAAACCAGGCATGTCCCTTTAAAATGAGAGAAGTTATGGGCATTTTTAGGCTACTGTTTTTTTGCTTATTTTCAGATTCTGAAGGCCTCAGAATATCCAAAAATCGATGATTTTAAAGTTTTTTTCTCCAGATAAATCGAATTATGGGATATCAAAAAACAGAAGAAACGGGTCAACTATTCCAGTCTAGCCAGGAAAACTTTTTCAGTGAGTTTTTAGCAATAGAGCGCATTTTCCATTTTCTGAGTTTTCAGAATTCTCAAATTTCCGTCGACGATTTCATATGTGAGTTTTTCGACCATTTTCGAATCATTTTTTTATATATTTTTTTGCTTTTTCAGAAGATCTCTATTCTATTTTATATCAATATTTTCTTTGGGCTTCTTTGTTTGTTTATACATAACGTTTGGATGGCAGAAAGGTGGAGGAGGTGGGTTTCTTAGGATTTTTTTGGTTTCAAATCGTTCAAATTTCAAATCGTTCTAATCAGGAGGTTCTGTGCTTCAAAATGAGCCCAAACACGACTAGGCTCCGCCCACTTTGAATTTTGGGGCGCGTCGCGATCGTGCAACGCGTGTTATGATTTAAATTCCAAAGTAGGCGGAACCTAGTCGTGTTTTGGCTCATTTTAAAGCTCTAGACTCAATAAGATTGAATTGAGCAACATTTCAGCTTTACAATAAGCCCAAACACGACTAGGCTAGCTTAACATTGATTTTTGGCAAGTTCCTTCAGACGCGTCGCGGTTGCGTTGCGTTCCTAGGCATGTGGTGACTCGTTTTGAAGCTCTCAATCTCATTAAGCTGAATTTCAATTTACTAAATCTGAATTCACGCTTTAAAAGCTGCAAAACAAGCCTAAATACAACTGGGTACGCTACGCGACCGCGACGCGCCTGACGGAACTTGTAAAATATAAATTTTAAGCTAAACTACTCGTGTTTGGGCGCATTTTGAAGCTGAAATTGCGACAAACAAGAAAATTTGCACGAAAATTCAAAATTGACAAGTCGAAAGCATTAAAATAAGCCTAAACACGACTAATTTAGCTCAAAATTAATTTTTGACCAATTCCGTAAGGCGCGTCGCGGTTGCGTATCCTTGTCGTGTTTAGTTTTGTTTTAAAGCTCAGAATCTCGCAATATCAAAAATGAAATTTTCAGATTCCATAACAGTATCCCAGTCCCTGCCCAGCTACTCGAACTACTTCAACACTACAGTAACCCCTACAAAAACTGAAACCTCAGAAAAATCGGAAAAATCAGAAATACAAAACGATTCAAAATACCAAGATGATTGCTCATTGCCAGTGTTCGATCCATGGGACGAAACAATAAAACCATTTATGGTAGAGGACACGAAAATGAAATTTTGCAATAAAAACTTCAAACCGTTTACCGAATTGGTGAATGGAACGTTTCGAGTGGTAGAGGAGAAGGAGGGAAGGACTTGTAAAGGGCGGTGAGTAGAAAATTTGAATTTGGGAGATTTAGAGCTTCAAAATGAGCCTAAACACAACTTGACTCGGACACACGCAGCACGACCGCGACGCGTCTAACGGAACTTCTCAAAATCTTAAGTTAACCAAATAGTACCGTGTTTAGGCTCATTTTGAAGCTTTTGCCTTGACACAACTGAATTTTCCTGTGAAAATTGTTGATTAACGCTGTCAGAGCTTTATAACAAGCCCAAACATAACTAAGATTGGTAAAAGACAACGCGACCGCGACGCGTCGAACGGAACTAGCCAAAAGCTCAAAGGCGAGCTAACCTAGTCGTTTTTGGCCGCATTCTGAAGTTTCTGACAAGACAAACTTGAATTTGAGACTGCAAATTGTTGAAAAACGGGTTCAGAGCTTCAAAATAAGCCCCAATCATATCTAGGATTAGATAAACGCAACGCGACCGCGACGCGTCTAACTGAACTGGCCAAAGTGTTTAAGCTCATTTTGAAGCTTTTGACTTGACAATTCCGAGTTTGTGTTTTGAAATTGGTAATTGACGCGTTGTGAGCTTCAAAACAAGCCCAAACATGACTAGCCTAGCTCAAATTTCGTTTTTGACAAGTTCCGTCAGAGGCGTTGCGGCTCCGCGTTGCGTGTCAAGGAAAAACAGTCGTGTTTATACTCATTTGAATTTCACAACCTTCCAAATCCAGAACATAAGCTCATTTTCAGATGCCACACACTCCCGGACCTCACCGCTCCGTTCAAAGTCACCAACTGGTTTTCGCCAGGACCCACGGATTGTGAGTTCTTGGAAGCAGTGTGCTGGGAAAAGGGACAATTTGGTGAGAAAGAAGTCTATGGATGGATTCATACACAGATTCTGCCGAAGTAGGTCAAAATATCGATTGTAATTGGAAAAAAAAAGGTTTTCAGCAAAGTTCCGAAACCATCCATTGAAAAATCCGAGCATCCAGATGTTTTCGTTTTTGTTATGGATTCGTTAGCGTCAGGAATGGCTAAAAGGTATGACATTTGAATTTTAGAAATTGAGAACTTCAAAATGAGTCTAAACACGACTATGTGTTCTCGACACGCAACGCAACCGCGACGCGCCTGAAGGAACTTGTCAAAAATCAAAAGTAAGCTAGCATAGTCAAGTTTGGGCTCTTTTTGAAGCTCTGAATTAGCTGAAATCAAATTTAACTAAGTATAAGCTTTAAAATGAGCTTAAGCACGACTAAGTTAGCTTCAAGTAGTTTTTTTTTCCGATTCCTTCAGTCGCGTCGCGGTCGCGTTGCGTGTCTAGGCATAGTTGTATTTGGGCTTATTTTGAAGCTCTCAGCCTCTCAAATTCAAATTTTATGTTTTCAGATCCCTCCCAAAGACGCTGGAATTCATGAAAACCAAACTGCAAGCTGTTGACTTTCCATATTTGAGTCAAGTCGGTACTCGGAGTCAAGTTAATGCAGTTCCACTCTGGTTTGGTATGCAAATGCGCTCTATTGAAAAATATTATAAATATTTTCAGGAAAACAAGTGGAAGCTGGTACCATGAAAGGTGGAAAACGAATGGAAGCCGATTGGACTGAGGAGGAGTACTGTAAGAATTATTTGGATGATAAGCCGAATATGTTTAGAGACTTTTTGGATGCTGGGTATACGGTATGTGGGATTTAAGGAAAATTTTGGATTTGGCACGTGTGGGAGAAACATAGTCGTGTTTAGGCTCATTTTGAAGCTCTAAATGAGCTGATAAATTTTTTGAGTATGAAAATTGTCAACACAAGAGCTTCAAAGTAAACCTAAACACGACTAGGCTAGCTTAAAATTGATTTTTGACAAGGCGCGTCGCGGTCGCGTTGTATGTCGAGGGAGCATAGTCATGTTTAGGCTCATTTTGAAGCTTAAACATGGATAAATCTGAATTTCTTAAATTGACAGCTTCAAAATAAACCTAAACACGACTAGGGTAGGTTGAATTTATTTGATTTTTTTACCAGTTCCGTCAGGCGCGTCGCGGTTGCGTTGCGTATTGGGGAAACATAGTCGTGTTTAGGCTCATTTTGAAGCTCTTGACCTCCCAAACTCAAATTTTATGTTTTTCAAACTTTCTTCTCGACCAAAAGTGAAAATTCTAGACAAACTACCTTGACAACTGGATTGACCAAACTCTCACCCATAATCCGATTTGCAAGGGCTTCCAACATTTCCATACAAATCACACCTTCTTTCCGCTGACCCATATTCTGGAAAGGACCGTCTTATGGGTCACCAAACAAAGTCTAAAAGGGACTCAAATTTGTCGAGAGGTCCATCAGGCAACTTTGGAGTACTTCGATCAATTTGTCAGAGCTTATCCAGGTTTTGTTGTTCTTGTGGAGGCGGGAAATTTGAATGTTTGAGTATTTTTTAGATCGGCCAAAGTTTACATGGAGTTGGTTTGTGCATTTGGCACATGAAAAGCTAGCTGGACCGGATCGAGCCGATCCGCATTTTTTGGAATTTTTCCAGAACAATTTTGAGATTGTGAGTCTTGCAGCTCGAAAACTAGACAAGCTAGAAAAAGTTTGTCAACTAGTAAAATGTGTGAAATTAAGATTTAAATATTTTTGTAGTTTACAACTTCTTGATAGCTCCAGTAGTTTTGGAGATATGCGCCTCTAAAGTTATCAGTCCTTTGAGAAAATGCGCTTTCGTTTCACTCTATCTTTTTTGCTAGTTTAAAGGCTCATAAAACTCAAAAACTACTGTAGCTAGAAAAAAAAATAATAAAACTAAATAGTGTGAAATGTTATGCTTAAGAATTTTGCAGTTGAGAATGTTACCATAGCTACCGTAGTTTTAGAGCTATGCGTTTTTAAAGGAAGTGCTCCTTTACAGCAAGCGGAGCCACAGGAGGGAGTGCCCACTTTAATGGCGCATATCTCAAAAACTACAGTAATATCTTATGTGTTTTCAGTTCGACGATGCATTCGTAATATTTACTGCTGACCATGGCTTCCGTGCCGGATCCTTTGAATTCTACAAAACCAAAATTGGAGCATTTGAGAAGCACAATCCATTTTTACAAATTTCGGTTCCCAAGAAATATCGGGATAATGGAATTTTGGAGGTTATGAGGGAGAATGCAAACAGATTACAGAGTCATTATGATACTAGAGCAACAATTTTGGATATATTGAAGGTGAGCAAGAAAGTATGCGGAGTGGGGAGAGGACAGAGAAGCTAGAGTGTCTGCGTCTCTGACTTCAATTTGAGGGCGTATATCTCGCGAAGGAAAAACGCTAGTGAAATGATTCAAATATTAAAATGTGTTAAATTTTATGCTCTCCATTCTTGCAGTTTACAATTTTTAAGTAGCTAGCTTAGTTTTCAAGATAAAAACGCTAGAATATAGATGCGCCGGTGAGCCTGCCGCCGACCGATGATTTACTGGCGCTCCAACTTTGAACACTGATATCTCGAGAACCAAAAGAGCTACCTAAAAGCAATGTACTACAAAAATGTGTGAAATTTTACGCTCTTTATTTTGGTAGTTAACAAATTTTTGATAGCTAACTTAGTTTCCGAGATATAGCAACTTTACGCAAGATGGCCCCTCTCTAGCTCAGCATCTGTAAGCCACTCACGAACTAATAGTTTTTAAAAAAAAACTATCTACCAGTAAAATATAGAAAATTTTGCGTTCTACAATGTTGTAAGTTATATTTAGCTTTGGCTTTCCTGCTTTTCGAGATATACCCTTACAAAGACTACTTTCCAGTACCAACCATCATCCCAATTCACGGACCACGCCACCCTCAAAATCCCCGATGAAAAAGGCAACTCTCTTCTTCGTCAACAACCTCTGACGCCTAGAAATTGTGAACATCTTCCGATTCCTCAGCAATACTGTATTTGTCAATCGAAGTCCACGGATTTGACTGCGGAGTGAGCAATAAAGGGCCATTTGGACAAACATATACTCATTTTTTCAGCGCCAAGTTGTGTGAACGTCTTGGGAGATCATTTTTGGCTCATATCAATTCAGAAATCGATAATTTCAAGTTGGGCTCTTTATGTCATAAATTTGATATTCAAATTGTAAGTTTCTCCTCCCCTCCCCTCCTTTCTCTCCAGCGCCCACCGCGTCCTCTTTCTTATACGCCTTGCCGCTCCCCTCCTTCATGGCGCCCTCGTGGCGCAGTGCTTGCGATTCTGCCCACCATCCACAAGGCCGCTGGTTCGACTCCACCCTTGACCTTTTCCTTTTTGCTTCTTTTTCGGACCCTTTCAAGTCATTATTAACTACTTTTAGGTCCTGGAACTCGATCTACACGCCTCTAGCCACGCCTCCAAGACCACATACCATATATCTGTGAAAACACAACATCCTGCGCAATTTGAAACGCTTATCACTGAGGATAAGGAAACGAAAAAATTGACATTTGATCAAATTGAGCGATTGGATCGATACGGGTCAACTGCGGACTGCTCAAAACCGGTGCATTTTACGAATCTTTGTTTTTGTAAGACGAGATAATTGCACTAATTTTTTTTAAATTAGGAAATTATATATTTTTTGGAAAATAAATTTTTTTGAATTATTCCTGAAATGAATATTCTCCACCCTTTTCATGAATGAAACTAGAATTCCTATATTTGCACTTACATTCTTATCAATTGTTCCGTAACCCATCCCTTTTTCAGCATGACAAGTTTGTTTTATCACTACAAACTACACAGAAATGCCAGCAGGCTAATTTTAGGCATGACACATCAGAATGAAGTTTTACAAAAAATTTGTCAACTACAAAATTAAAGCTTTACTTTTCTTCAGTATACTCTGAAATTTTCAGCCAAATTGAAAAATTTTGAGCCAGTTTTGTAGGACTCTATAGTTTAGACAGCCAATTAGCGTATAGCCTATTCGTGTCCTGATGGGGTTTAGGCTCATTTTGGAGCTCAAAAATTGCTTAATTCAAATTTATCAAGTTTAGAGCATCAAAATAAAACTTAACACGACTATTCTAGCTTTAATTTGAATTTGACGAGTCAGGCGCGTCGTGGTTGCGTTGCGTATCCTAGTTGTTTTTCGGCTTGTTTCGCAGCTTTCAAAGCGGGAATTCAAATTTGATAAAATGCAATTCAGCTTTAGGAAGTCAAGAGCTTCAAAACGAGTACCCACATGCCTAGGCACGCAACGCGACCGCGACGCGCCTGACGGAATCCGTCAACAATCAGTTTTAAGCTAGCCTAGTTGTTTTTAGGCTCATTTTGAAACTCATAGACAGCTAAATTCAAAATTTTCGAATTTCGGGCTTCAAAATGAGCCTAAATACGACTATTCTAGCTTCAATTTGACCTTTGGCAAGTTCCGTCAGGCGCGTCGCGGTTACGTTGCGTATTGAGGAAACATAGTTGTGTTTAGGCTCATTTTGAAGCTTTTGACATGACAATGTCAAAAGTCTTATTTTCAGACATACAAATTCAACTTAACAATCTGAAATCGACCAATAAAGAATGTCAAATAATTTTTCATCATTTTCTTTTTTTTCCAGCCCCTCCCATTTTTTTCGCTTTTTCCAAACTAGAATTTTTGCTGAAACTAGGTACATATTTGTACAATATTTGAAGTATTTATTTGTTTCTTATCATTATCACTTATTCGATTTATCATTCCTCTTCTCTCACGGGCCACCCTCTTCCTATTTTATACCGCGTCGCCCCTATTTTTACAGCCGTCTTCTCCTCTTTTGCTCTTTTGAAATAGTTAAATAGTTTCAAAATTGATAAAACTACAAATAATTTAAATGATTAGTTTTAAGGATAACCGTATACCAAAAATACCAACAAAAATTGTCTGAATAGTCTCAGAGATTACTGTATCTTTCTGGCCCCCAACAGTGCCAAATAGCTTTGAATCGGCTAAAAAAGTGTGATATTTGAAATCAGCAGGCTAAAATCTTCAGAATAAGCCTAAACACGACTGAGATACGCAACGCGACCGCGACGCGCCTGACGGAACTTGACAACAATTAAATGTTAGTTAGCATAGTCGTATTTAGGTTTATTTTGAAGCTCTGAAATAGACGAATTTGAACATAGCTAGTTGGAAGCTTCAAAATGAGCCTAAACACGACTGGGCTAGCTCAACATTGAGTTTTGACAAATTCCTTCAAATGCGTTGCGGTTGCAAAGCGGTTTTGAAGCTTGCACAATTCCTAAAACTTCTAGTTTCAACTTGGAGCGTCAGAGTTACCTAAAATTGAGTTTGACTAGACTAAATCGGTAGAATTCGGCACCGTTTCAAAAAAAATCTGGGAAATTTTTGAAAAATATTTTTAATAAGTTTTTTTTTCGGTTTCAATCAATTTACATTTTTTATGATTGCACATTGTTATTGGTCCCATTTTTAAGTTAGACATTTTTGAGTTACCATAGTCATGTTTAGGCTCATTTTGAAGTTTTTACCCTAATAGTATTAGATTTAGTTTTGCAGGAGCTTTGAATCAAGCTTAAACACGACTATGCTATTTTAAAATTGATTTTTGACTGATTCCTTCAGGCGCTTCGCGGTTGCGCAGCGGTTTTAACATTGAAGTGATTCTGAAGACTTCTAGGTTTATTTTGAAGATTCAACATTACGCAACGCGACAGCGACGCACCAGACAAAACTTGTCGAAAATCAAATTTATCCTAGAATAGTCCTTTTTAGGCTCATTTTGAAGCTCTCAACATCTCAAATTTGAATATCAGACAAGAAATCATGTAACAGAAAAATCTCCTGAGACTATTGAATTGAATAAAATACTTCTAGATATTTTTGGAATTTTGAAACAGTAATTCCTGTTTTTCCGTTTTTTTTAAAGATTTTTACTTTTAAAAAAGCATCTTTTTTTAAAAATTGTTTCGAAGTTCTGTTCTATTTTTTAGATCACCAAAAAATTTTAACGATTAATCAGAATGGGTTTTTAAAATTCTTGAAAATTTTTGGGATATTTTGAAACAGTTGAAATTTTGTTAAAAAGGTTTTTTGACAAAAAATCGAAAAAAAAAACGGAAAAAAAAACTGCAAACATTCCCATAGTTACATTCCCCTTTATGGGTTTTTCTCTTTTTTTTTCGTTTTTTTTTTCGATTTTTGAAAATTTCCTTTTTTTTTTTGATTTTTTGTGTTTTGAATTTCCGAATTTCTGAATTTCCGAATTTCTGAATTTTTGAATTTTTGAATTTCTGAATTTTTGAATTTTTGAATTTTTGAATTTCTGAATTTTTGAATTTTTGAATTTTTGAATTTTTGAATTTTTGAAATTCTGAATTCCTGAATTTTTGAATTTTTGAATTTCTGAATTTCTGAATTTTTGAATTTTTGAATTTCTGAATTTTTGAAGTTTTGAATTTTTGAATTTTTGAATTTCCGAATTTCTGAATTCTGAATTTTTGAATTTTTGAATTTCTAAATTACTGAATTTCTGAATTTTTGAATTTTTGAATTTCTGAATTTCTGAATTTTTGAATATTTGAATTTCCGAATTTCTGAATTTCCGAATTTCTGAATTTTTGAATTTTTGAATTTCTGAATTTTTGAATTTTTGAATTTTTGAATTTCTGAATTTTTGAATTTTTGAATTTTTGAATTTTTGAATTTTTGAAATTCTGAATTCCTGAATTTTTGAATTTTTGAATTTCTGAATTTTTGAATTTTTGAATTTTTGAATTTTTGAATTTTTGAATTTTTGAATTTTTGAATTTCCGAATTTCTGAATTCTGAATTTTTGAATTTTTGAATTTCTAAATTACTGAATTTCTGAATTTTTGAATTTCTGAATTTCTGAATTTCTGAATTTTTGAATATTTGAATTTCCGAATTTCTGAATTTCTGAATTTTTGAATTTTTGAATTTCTGAATTTCTGAATTTTTGAATTTCTGAATTTCTGAATTTTTGAATTTTTGAATTTCTGAATTTCTGAATTTCTGAATTTCTGAATTTCCGAATTTCCGAATTTCTGAATTTTTGAATTACTGAATTTCTGAATTTTTGAATTTCTGAATTTTTGAATTTTTGAATTTCTAAATTTCTGAATTTTTGAATTTTTGAATTTTTGAATTTCTGAATTTCTGAATTTTTGAATTTCTGAATTTCTGAATTTCTGAATTTTTGAATATTTGAATTTCCGAATTTCTGAATTTCTGAATTTTTGAATTTTTGAATTTCTGAATTTCTGAATTTTTGAATTTCTGAATTTCTGAATTTTTGAATTTTTGAATTTCTGAATTTCTGAATTTCTGAATTTCTGAATTTCCGAATTTCCGAATTTCTGAATTTTTGAATTACTGAATTTCTGAATTTTTGAATTTCTGAATTTTTGAATTTTTGAATTTCTAAATTTCTGAATTTTTGAATTTTTGAATTTTTGAATTTCTGAATTTTTGAATTTTTGAATTTTTGAATTTTTGAATTTTTGAAATTCTGAATTCCTGAATTTTTGAATTTTTGAATTTCTGAATTTTTGAATTTTTGAATTTCTGAATTTTTGAATTTCTGAATTTCTGAATTTCCGAATTTCCGAATTTCTGAATTTTTGAATTTTTGAATTTCTGAATTTCTGAATTTCTGAATTTCTGAATTTCCGAATTTCCGAATTTCTGAATTTTTGAATTACTGAATTTCTGAATTTTTGAATTTCTGAATTTCTGAATTTCTGAATTTCTGAATTTTTGAATATTTGAATTTCCGAATTTCTGAATTTCTGAATTTTTGAATTTTTGAATTTCTGAATTTCTGAATTTTTGAATTTTTGAATTTCTGAATTTCTGAATTTCTGAATTTCTGAATTTCTGAATTACTGAATTTCTGAATTTTTGAATTTCTAAATTACTGAATTTCTGAATTTTTGAATTTCTGAATTTCTGAATTTCTGAATTTTTGAATATTTGAATTTCTGAATTTCTGAACCTCTGAATTTTTGAATTTTTGAATTTCTGAATTTCTGAATTTTTGAATTTCTGAATTTCTGAATTTTTGAATTTTTGAATTTCTGAATTTCTGAATTTCTGAATTTCTGAATTTCCGAATTTCCGAATTTCTGAATTTTTGAATCACTGAATTTCTGAATTTTTGAATTTCTGAATTTCTGAATTTCTGAATTTTTGAATATTTGAACTTCCGCCACCCTCTGAATTTCCGAATTTCTGAATTTTTGAATTTCTGAATTTCTGAATTTTTGCACTTCTGAATTTCTGAATTTTTGAATTTTTGAATTTCTGAATTTCTGAATTTCTGAATTTCTGAATTTCCCCATTACTGAATTTCGTGAATTTTTGAATCTCCGAATTACTGAATTTCTGAATTTCTGAATTTCCGAATTTTCGAATTCCTGAATTTCTGAATTTTTGAATTTCTGAATTTCTGAATATCTGAATTTCCGAATCTCTGAACTTCTGAATTTCTGAATCTCCGAATCTCTGAATTTCTGAATCTTTGAATTTCTGAATCTTTGAATTTCTGAATTTCTGAATTTCTGAATTTCCGAATTTCCGAATTTTCGAATTTTTGAATTTCTGAATTTCTGAATTTCTGCATTTTTGAATTTTCGAATTTCTGAATTTCTGAATTTTTGAATTTCTGAATTTCCGAATTTTTGAATTTTTGAATTTCTGAATTTCTGAATTTCTGAATTTCTGAACTTCCGAATTTCCGAATTTCTGAATTTTTGAATTACTGAATTTCCGAATTTTTGAATTTCTGAATTTCTGAATTTCTGAATTCGTGAACTTCTGAATCTCTGAATCTTTGAATTCATGACTTTCTGAATCTTGCAACTTTCGCATTTTTCAATTTTGACCTTCTTGAAACTCTGAATTCTTCAATTTTTGAATTTTTGAATTTCTGAATTTTAGAATTTTTCAATTTTTCCATTTTTGCATTTTTGAATTTTTGAATTTTTGAATTTCCGAATCTCTGAATTCTGAATTTTTGAATTTTTGAATTTCTAAATTACTGAATCTCCGAATTTTTGAATCTCTGAATCTCTGAATTTCTGAATTTTTGAATATTTGAATTTCCGAATTTCTGAACTTCTGAATTTTTGAATTTTTGAATTTCTGACTTTCTGAATTTTTGAATTTCTGAATTTCTGAATTCTTGCATTTCCGAATTTCTCAATCTCCGAATTTCTGAATTTCTGAATTTCCGAATTTCCGAATTTCTGAATTTTTGAATCCCTGAATTTCTGAATTTTTGAATTTCTGAATTTCTGAATTTCTGAATTTCTAAATTTCTGAATTTTTGAATTTTTGAATTTTTGAATTTCTGAATTTTTGAATTTTTGAATTTTTGAATTTTTGAATTTTTGAAATTCTGAATTCCTGAATTTTTGAATTCTTGAATTTCTGAATTTTTGAATTTCTGAATTTTTGAATTTCTGA